CTCACAACCATCTGTAATGAGATCTGGTGCCCTCTTCTGGCCTGCAGACATACACACAGACAGAATATTGTATACATAATAAATAAATAAATAAATATTTCTTAAAAAAAAAAGCCTAACTTCTGAAATACATTACAGATAGGAAACATTTTATATATATTTCACAGTACCATAAAGCCATCTGGGAGTGGGACAAGGGACTGGCTGTAACCAGGATAGAGAGGGTGCGGGCATGGGCAAAGCCAACCTAGGGGCCTGAGCTCTGCCTTCACCTGGAGTGTCTCATCTCTGGCCCGGGTGTGGATTCATACTGCACCAAACACACCAGTTCTCCCATCTGCACTTCTCAGCCCAGCCTCCCCTTCATAAAACAGACGCCATTCTTCGGATGGTGCAGCTGAAGAAGGTGGAGTCTGGAATGGCCACTAGGCCTTGGGGAGGCAGAAGTTCATTTCGGAAGTTCATGAGGCCCATGGCCTCAGCTTCCCACAGGGTGCAGGTGCAGTGTATCAGCGCATCATGTGACCAAATAGCCCCAGGACCAGTGACAAAGAGACCAGTCTGACTCTCAGGATCAGGAGTGGTGATCCGGCAAGTGGGGAAGGCTCTGTCAACTGTGGAGCTGCTAGCTGAGGTGGGGGCAGCATGGGGAGGAGGCTGTCCACACTATGGCCAATAAAGAAGCAGTGAGCTGACTCTATGCATTTAGGTCAGCCTGGTCTACATAGTGAGTCTAGGACAGCCAGGTCTATGTAGAGAGACCCTGTCTGTTTCATAAAGAAAAGCCACACAAAACAAAACATAAAAAGCATCAAGCTAGGCTGGAGAGAGATGGCTCAGCAGTTAAGTGTCTTCGCTACTATTGCAGAGGACACAGGTTTGGTTCCCAACACCCAAGTGGCTGCTCATAATGTCTGCACCTTAGTTTTAGGGGATCTGATGTCCACCTCTGGTGTCGCTACACACAGAGCTACACATACACGCATGCAAGCAAAACATGCATACACACAAAGAAAAAAATAGATCTTTGGAGTTGGGTGGAGGTGGCACACACCTCTAATCCCAGCACTCAGGAGGCAGAGGCAGGTGGATCTCTGAGTTCAGGGCCAGCCTGGTCTACAGAGTGAGTTCCAGGTCAGCAAGGGCTACACAGAGAAACCCTGTCTCGAAAAAAATTAAAAACAAACAAATAATAAGTAAGTAAATAAATCAGTCTTTGGGCTGGGCATGGTGGTACATACCTTTATGCCCGCACTCCCTTTTCGCTCAGGCTGTACTGTCTTCAAATCCCATTTCACTTCACCTTCCAATTCTTATAAACCTGGCTAAAGCTGGAACCATCCTCAGCCTGAAGCTCTGCTGTCTTGAACCTTCCTCTGCCAAACAAATTAGTCTATCCTTCTAGTCTAATCTCAACGCAATTTTCAGAACATGGGCAGAATGGAGACAAATTCTTTGCCAGAGCATAAGCAAGGTAGCCTCTTGTGCGCTTCCCAGTAAAGTGACTGTTAGTGTTTCTAGAAGCGTCCCTACCAGACTATACGCTAGGTGGCACTCCAGCCATCCCAGAGTGTAGCCCACAGCTTCAACTCTTCCACACCGCTCACTCCCTCAGACCAGTTCCAAAGGTCAGTTTATCAAGGCACAGTTTTGCAGACAGTACCCGTCCTCTGTGTTGGTTGTTTGTGTTGTTGGGACTAAAATAACACACAGAAACAACGGGGGGTGGGGTGCAGTTATTGTGGTTCAAGGTTTCACAGCAGAAAAGCACAGTGGAGCAGCACTGTTACAGATGAGGAAGCGGGAGTGTGTGTGCACACACGTGCGGGGTGTGTGTGGGGGTGGGAGGGTGGGATGTAGATGCGGGTGCATGGGACACATGGCAAAGCTACAGAGAAGCCCTGTCTTGAAAGACAAAAAAAAAAAAAAACCCTTTCCTGTATAGCCATGATGGCACACCACTTTAATCCTAGCACTCTGGAGGCAGAGGCAGGAGGATGGCCGTGAGTTCCAGGAAGCTTACATAGTGAGTGAGACCCTATCTCACAAAACTAGCAAATACCTTCTAGAACCTCCCAAATGACTCCAGCAACTGGGAAAGCAGCGTGACAAGCATGAGTCTGTGAAGGGCACTTCAGACTCAGAGTGACAGGCAGCGGGAATGCCGGCTATCATGCCTGGCCCTGCCAGTGTGCAGAGACAGATGGGAGGAAATGAGAGGGCAGTCTGTACAGCAAGCCAGGGCAGAGCAGAGGGAAATAAACCACAGAATCCAGGATCTACATGCGGTGACTTAGAGATAATGGGCCAGCTCGTCATTGCATGGGCAGAAATATAACAAGTCTTTCTGACCCACCAGACAGCTCCCAAATAAGGACACGAGGAGAATTATTACTAATTATGAAAGATTGGCCTTAGCATACGCTTTTTAAAACTAGCCTAATTTATAACTTAAATTAACTCGTTTCTATTATTGTACATTCCTGCTTCTTCTGTGTCTCCTGGAGTCTCTGGTACGCCTAGATTCCTCTCCTCCCTCTCTGCCTGGAAGTCCCGCCTTGCCTTACCTTCCGCCTAGACGTGTCATTCAGCTCTTTATGAAACCAATCACAACAATGTATCTTCACACAGTGTTCAAATATCCCACAACATAAAAAGGCCAGACCTAGAGAGGCTAGAATTCCTGCCAGCAAACATCAGCCATCCTGGCACCTGTTAGCAAATTAGAAATGGGCTCCTCCCACCCGAGGCCTGGCTGTCTCAAAAAGGAAACAAAATGCAACAATAATGCTAAAAGTTGGAGAGAAGGCAGCTGACCAGTTAAGAGCCTGGCTGCTCTCAAGGACCATGGTTCAATTCCCAGCACCCACATAGCCATCTGTAGCTCTAATTCCAGGGGATCCAACACCCTCTGCTCGTCTCCATAGGCAATTGGGTACATAGACATAAATTCAGGCAAAATGTCCATACACAAAAAATAAAACAATAAAGCTAAGCTGGGCTGTGGAGGCACATGACTTTAATCCCAGCACTTGGGAGGCAGCGGCAGGAGGATCTCCGAGAGTTGGAGGTCAGCCTGGTCTACAGGACAGCCAGAGCTGTTACATGGAGAAACCCTTTCTTGAAAAACCACAAAAAACAAACAAACAATAGTAAAACTAACTGGAAGATAATTTACCAGTATATCTACTATAAATTTATTTATTTATTTATTTATTTATTTATTTATTTATTTATTTATTTGAGACAAGGTTTCTCTATGTAGTCCTGGCTGGCCTGGAACTCTGGGCAGACCAGGCCTTGAACCCAGAGAACCCACCTGCCTCTGCCTTTCAAATGCTAGAGGTAACCTACCATATACTTAAATGTGCACTAGCTTCACTTGTAGGAACTCAATGGTATAGAAACACACATATGTACAAAGATGGCATCACTGTGATAGGAGACATAGGAAGTGGTCCAGTAGTTAGGACTGCATCAGTAAACCATGGCACATATGGAATATAAACAATCATTATGTCAGGTGGTGGTGGCGAGAGCCTTTAATCTCAGCACTCGGGAAGCAGAGGCAGGTGGATCTCTGTGAGTTCGAGACCATCCTGGTCTACAGAGTAAGTTCCAGGACAGGCTTCAAAGCTACAAAGAAACCCTGTCTCGGAAAAAAAAAATCAACACATTAAAAGCTGTGAGGGGCTGCAGCGTGGCTCTGTGTAGGCAGACTTTTCTGTCTCACCTGCAAGATCACAAATAAGCACAAAGAGACTCATTAATCATAACTACTCGGCCAATAGCTTAGGCTTATTATTAACTAGCTCTTTCAACTTACTAACCCCTATATCTTACTACGCTCTACCATGTGGCAGAACAGGGTGTGTTCATCTCCTGCTTTCTCCTTCCCAATGCTCTCTCCATCCGGCTCTCTTGCTTAACTTCTTTCTGCCTAGCTGTTGGCCAGTTGCCTCTTTATTAAACCAATGAGATTAAAACATCTTCACAGTGTACACAAGGCTTATTCCACAGCAGGTTATGCTTGGCATGCCCAAGGCGCTGGGCTGAATTCTTAGCACTGAAAACAGTATCCAGGATACACTGCTTAGCAAAAGAAGTCCCACATTATGGACTGCATGAATCTGTTTAGGAGGGATAATGATGTATATGTTGCAATGAGTGTTGGCAAATTCCCTCTAGGCCATGCTTCTGCTCAGCAAGCTTCTAATCCATGCTGGCAACTCTCTACTGTGTGTTCCTTACCAAACAACTTGGTTCAGCGTCTAGTGCAGCCTGCAGCCCATCTTTCAGAGCTTGAGGTGTCATCTTCCCCATGCAGCTTCCCTAGTTTACCCCATTGCAGGTCTTATTAGGTTCTTTTTGTTTGTTTGGTTGTTGTTTTTTGTTTTTGTTTCCTTCTCAAAGCAAAAAGAGTCAATGTCTGGAAAGGAAGAAAAGGCTGAAAGCTTCACTACGTAGTTTTAAAGTTGGTTAAAAAATCGATGTGACTAGCTGAAGGGTAGGTGTGTAGATTCAGCGAACAGTTGACAGCCCAGAAACTCTCATACTGATAGTCAATTGTCACAGCAAAAGGGGACGGAGATTATTCAGGGAGGGAAGAATAATCTGTACAGCTTGTGTATCTTATCAGTCAGCTGGTGCACAAACCACTGATACCCACGTCCACATCCACAAAAACGCCCGGTGTTCATTGCTGTCCTCCCTGACTTTCTTCTTTCAAGTAAGGATGTACTCGGGAACACGGAACACTTCGCTTTAATGGCTAAACAATTTACTAACATACGGATCTCTACAGTTAGCCTGGGAACTATAAGGACCAGGAGGACCCACACAGATGAAGAGCTGGAGCAGATGACCTGGAGACGTAGATCCACCCGCAGCTCAGCTCAGAATTCACTGTCAGCTCGGCTTCCACTGCTTTTACCGGACGACCATCGCAGTCGGGATGAGTGTGGAAAAGGAGTGAGCGCGGGTCGGTTAGCAGCAGCCCGCAAGTACGTTCGCGGGCACCTGCACCTTTTGGGGCAGCTACTCAGCAAACGGACGGCAATAAAGGGTTGAAAACTCTGGCCCAATGTCTATCGGAACCCGAACAACGATAGTGAGCCGCTACTTATGTCCTCTCAGGTTTATTTCGCCGCTCTTGCAGTAGCAGCACAATCCTCAGGTTGCAGGGATCCCTGTCCCTTTAAGAGGGCTGAACTTCGCTCCGTTACTTCCGCCCCGAAGTGGCTTGGCGCAGGCGCGTTGGAGAGTAGGGCGAAGCCGTGGGACGCTTTCCCCTTTACAGACGTGGTAACGCCCTGGCGGCCGCGGGCTCGCCCGGCCATGACGTCACTTCCGGGGCGGAGGACAGCGAGTGGTGCAGTGAGGGACAAACAAAAGGAGGGCGCCGGAGGAGCGCGGCGTCCGGCGGCGGGACTGTGTGGCAGAGGGCCGGGGCTGCCTGCCGGGCGGCTGCGAGCGGCGAGCTCAGGTGAGTGGGTCGGGTGGGGGATGAGACACGCGCTGTCACCTCACGGAACCCACCCCGACGTGCGCCCCGCCTCCGCAAGTCCTGTGCGGCTATCGCTGCCCGCGGGCGCCGGTCAGCCAGGCCCCGCGCCGCCGCTGCCCTCCGCTTCGCCCGGCCTCCCGCGGGCGCCGCTCCCGACCCCACCCTCCTGGCCGTGCCGCGGCACGCGAGCCCCCTCCCGGGCACCCTGTGCCCCGCGCGCATCTCACCCGAGTTTCCGCTGCGCTTCCCACATCACACTTGCTGCGCTGGTCCCCGCAGACCCGCTCCCCTCCGCGCGCCCGTGTCCGCTTCCCTGTGGGTCCCGCTGGGCGTTCTCTGGACAGCACCCCCATCAGCAGCTCTCCCGGTTCTCAGCCTTGGGCTTCCCGGCGCCAGTCTCTTTCCTTGGACCCCTCCCTCTTCCTGATCTGCGGGACAGTTCTCTGCCATGAGGGCAGGATCACCGGCTTTAGGGACCTCGGTCTTTGGCCTGGGGTTTCCCGGACGACCGGTTCTTGATGTGAAACTCCAGTTGGTTCTGCCGCTGTCTTGTGCATCCAGCGGCGGGAAGGAGTATCAGATCCGGGAAGGTGTGATGAGCCAGAGGTCAGCAAAGATGCTCCCAGGCTGAAGGAACAGCTCAGAGAGCTGTTTTTTTTGGGGGGTTTGTTGTTGTTATTGCTTGTATTTTGAAACAGAGTTTCACTATGTAGCCTTGACTGTCCTTTAACTCTATGTAGACCAGGCTAGCATCGAAATCACAAATTAGTCTGCCTCTGCCTCCTGAGTGCTGGGTAAAGACGTGGGCCATCCAGCTCTGCTTGAGCCCTGGGTTCTTGAACCTGCTTTGGTGAGGATTCCTCCCCTTCCTCAGGACAGGAGTGAACCAAGCTGGGCTGGTTCTCTTCTGATGCAATCACTGCCTTTTCTGGGAAGGACACGCGGATTGAATGAGGGATGAGTGTTAGCCTTTTCCTGATGGGAACCGGGCTGACATAGTGGTAGTTGTGGGGCAGCCGCACTTACACTGCCTCCTCTTCTTCCCCTGTCCACTAGGGTACCTTTAAGAATGAGGTGTGGAAGGGGGAGAGGGTGTGTGAGGACAGGGGACCTTGTGTGCTGAATCTTGGAGACAGAAATGAGTAGCCAGAGGCTCCAAGGTCCTTTTCTACCTTGCAAGTGTGTTAGTGGTACCTTTAACCCTGCCATTTGTGTTCTGCCCTCTGGAGCAGGCACACCAGCAGACAGACAGACAGACACTGCGGAAAGAATAGGTTGACTGTTGGGGGTAGGAGAGTGGGAGTGCATTCAGAAGCCCAGGGATGGTGCCAGTGGGCTAGGCTGTTCACGCTGTTTCCTTGATGAAGGTCATGCTCTCTGTGGCTGTTTGGAGCAGGCAAGGACAGAGGAGGAGCGCTGGAGGATGACTTCCTGGAGCGTGTGTGATGGGGTCCAGTATTCCACTTTGTTTTGAGGATGGTATACAAGAGCAGAGACCAGAGAAGCATTTGACATCCTCCCATCTACCCCACCCCCCAAGTCGGCCTCACACATTTGTTCTCTGTGCCAAAGGCATACTTGCTAGGATGAAGTTTCTTTGCAAATTTGAGTGGTCTCTGTGGATGGTGTGGGCTCCTGAGAATCATCCTAATGGGGCAGAACCCCAGCTTGCTGCCTGGAAGAGCTGGAACCAGCCAGTTCCCAGCTCACTCACCTGAGACTGTAAGGGATTCCAGGTTTTTAGGTAGAGACACCGAGGCACAGGTTGACCAGCACAACTGATAACTTAGGAGTAATAAATGCAGACGTTGAACATAGACTGTAGTGGTCCTGATAAAGCCCAGAGGAAGGAGGAGGGAACCTGCACTTAGTGAGCAGGCTGCCCAGGGTACCTGTCCTTCAAGAAGGGATTAGAAATGTCAGTGAGTCCAGAATCCTACTTTAGTCATGACCGTGAAGTGGACAAGCTACTGTCCAGCAGTGTCCCAGCCCTGTCTGAGACAGAGGGTGGGGCACAGGTGGCCTGGGTGGCCTCTGCTCCTTCCTGGCTCTGGGTGCTTTACTGCATGGTCACATGTAGGTTGCTGGGTGCTTTCCTGTCTTGTCTTCTTGTGGCTAGGAAGACTGTGTTTGACCTCATGCTCACAAGTTGACAGGTGCTCTCCAACCCATTAGACGCATCTAGATCCTGCTGTTTGCTGTTTCCTTCCTGGATAACTTCTACTAATGATTTAACTCCCTCACAGCTGGACCACACTCCCCTCCTGGGCTGCTTTTGCTGTCTTCTAAGTCTGGAGTGGCGCCCACACTCCTCTCTCACACTGCCACCTTGTCTCTGGTAAGCCGTGCAGAGCACAGTGTCCCGTGGGTAGTTGAGCGCTTGCTCACTGTGGAGAGCTAAGTCCTTACGTTTAAGTGGCAATCCTTGTCTGGCCTGGCTCACCCCTTGCCACTCCTCTCTCTCCACTTCCAACTTCAGGGCTAGTTGTGACCAAAGACTAGCTTGTAGCATCTTGCCCACCTCTTCTCTCCTGCCAGTGAGTACATGCTCTACCTCCAGCCTGGATCATTCTTCTACTCCTCATGCCCAGGGGTCAACAGAAACCTGCTCTTCTAGGAGTCTGTACCAACCAATCCCTCAGGGCTGGGCTGGGCTGGGCCTGATCTCCAGCAAGGGCCTTGCCTCCAGATTGAAATTGCTACCTTGGGGACTCTTTGGAGACCAGGGTCTGTGCAGCAGGTGCTCCTGTTGCCCTGGAGCCCCTTATAGGCCCTGGCAGTATCTCCAGGCTCTTTAAAAAACAGTGGCCCGGTGAAAATATTTCTGAGACCTACAGATAGACCTATTTATTGACTGTAGCTCTTAACTTCCTAGGGCAGCAGCAGCGTCCATGGAGCAAAAGGAATGCCAGGACCCTGTGCATCCAGACAGGGACCAGCCTCAGCACCAGCAGCCAACACGAAGATAGCAGAGCCACCTCAGGGTAAGGCTCTCTTCAGACTTTCTGTACTGCCTCTCCCAGGCAGATAGTATGGCCCATGCCTCCATTTTCATAGTTCTTAGTCCCTGTAGGATCCAGGGCATCTGAGTGATCCCTGCTTGCTCTGCATTGGTGTTTTGTTTTTGTTTCAGTAGTGGGAATTGAGTCCAGGGCCTCATACGTGTTAGACAGTGCTCTATCTTTAAGTGACTTCCTAGACTCAGCCTGTCCGAGGTTGGACTTGAACTCCTGATCTTCTGCCTGTGTCTCCCCGTACCAGGATTAGAGGCACACACCACCAGTCTGGGGTAATGCAATGCTGGGATAGGACCTGGCTCTTTGTGTGCAAGGCAAGCACTACTAGCCCTCGCCCCCAAACTTTATCCCTAGTCCTTGTTTTACTTTTTTTTTTTAAAGATTTATTTATTATGTATACAACATTCTACCTCCATGTATGCCCGCATGCCAGAAGAGGGCACCAGATCTCATTACAGATGTTTGTGAGCCACCATGTGGTTGCTGGGAATTGAACTCAGGACCTCTGGAAGAGCTGCCAGTGCTCTTAACCACTGAGCTATCTCTCCAGCCCCCTTGTTTTACTTTTATGTTCAGGCAGGGTCTTGCTAACTTGCCAGGTCAGACCTTGAACTCGCAGTTCTGCTTCAGCTCCTGTGAGAGGCCCAGCTGGTGTATTCTTTGAACCCAGTGCTATTGCACTGAGCCTCTCATTGTCTTCCTCCCCACAGATCTTATTAGTGTGGATAGCTAGTGACACATTTCCCAAGATGTGTTCCTTTGGACACGACCCTTTTGGTCCCAGAAGTTAGATAATTCTGCAGCTGCTGCAGGACTTTGAGAGCCTTGAGCATGATGGGTTGAGTAGTTCTCGTACTGAAGTGGTCACATACCTATCTGTTGGAGGTGGAGGTCCCTTCTAGATAGACAGTTTTTCTTTTTTCTTTTCTTTCTTTCTTTCTTTCTTTCTTTCTTTCTTTCTTTCTTTTTTTTTTTTTTTTTTTTTTTTTGGCCTGGTGTTTTCTTAGCTCAGACTTGGTAGGTAGCTAGGGATGGTCTCCTGCCTCCTGAGTGCCAGGATTACAGACCTGTTTTGCCTAATTAATAAAAACCTAGAGACATAAATTGTTCAACCTGAAGGTTGCAAGTTCCAGGACAGCAAGGGCTACATAGAGAGACGTGGTCTCAAAAATAGCAACAAAAGCAGAAAGCAATTGAAAAAGGGGTGCAGGGAGCTCATTGACGTTGTTAGTATAAAGATTAGATTCCTAGCAGTCCTCCCAAACAGGTGGTGATGACAGTAACATGTCCCTCCCTTTCGAACCTTTTCGAGAACTTAGCAGAGTGTGTCTCAGAAAGTATTCTGTGCTTAGAGCTGGCCTGTGCTGAGACTGCTGTGCAGCATGCAGAACACTCTGTGTGACAGGATCTCGGGATTGTTTGCCACAGCTCGAGCAGTGGTCTCTGTCACTGTTAACCCACATAGAAACTGAGGCTCAGAACCAGGAAGCAACCTGCTGAAACTACCCATGAAGAATGGTGACGTGAATTTGAACTCAGATCCTGTAACTCTGGCTCTGGTCCTTTGTTCTTGTCTCAGTCTTCCAACTTCTGTCTATGCCTATGCTTCTCCTGGAGGAATGCAAGAGCCCCTTACCCCAGCCCTAGCCTGGACTTTAAGGAAATAGTCATCTGGGCAGGGGGTTGATGCTGCTTTCAACATCTAGTAGCCCAGGCTGGTCTCAAACTTTTTTTTTATTATGTGTATGAATGATGAATATTTTGCTCGCACATATGTCTGCACCATGAAACCCTTGAAGGTCAGAAAAGGGCTTCAGATTCCCCTGAACTGGAGTTAGAGACAGTTGTAAGTTGCCAGTGTGTGTATTGGGGATCGAACATGGGTCTTCTACAAGAGAAACAAGTGCACCATGGTGTACCGCGGCCAAGGCCAGAAGGTGCAGAAAGTGATGGTGCAGCCCATCAACCTCATCTTCAGATACTTGCAAAACAGGTCTTGGATTCAGGTCTGGCTGTATGAGCAAGTGAATATGCGGATAGAAGGTTGTATTATTGGCTTTGATGAGTACATGAACCTCGTATTAGATGATGCAGAAGAGATTCATTAAAAAACAAAATCAAGGAAACAATTGGGTCGGATCATGCTGAAAGGAGATAATATTACTCTGCTAAAAAGTATTTCAAACTAGAGACCGTCAGGAACTTGAGAAGTTGAAGAGGGAGTGCAGTGATCTTAAAGGTGTCTTCTGTTGGGAGCATAGTCCAAAATATTCATGTTGTTTTAGTGGCCCTTATATTATTATCAGGTGACAATACATGCTGTGAGATTGTTTTTATTACAGAGAGAGAGAGAGAGAGAGAGAGAGAGAGAGAGAAAGAAAACAAGTGATCCTGACTTCTGAGCCATCTCTCCGGTCCAGCTCGATTCCTTTACCTCAGCCTCTAGAGGGCTGGAATTGTAGACGTGCTCCATCATGTTGTTTAGATTTTTTTTTTTTAAATATTTATTTATTTATTATGTATACAATATTATGTCTGTGTGTAGGTCTGCAGGCCAGAAGAGGGCACCAGACCCCATTACAGATGGTTGTGAGCCACCATGTGGTTGCTGGGAATTGAACTCAGGACCTTTGGAAGAGCAGGCAATGATCTTAACCTCTGAGCCATCTCTCCAGCCCGTTGTTTAGATTTTAGTGTCATAGAAGGCGAAGTCCTCACCCCATCTTCGGAGACCAGGATAATGGGGAGAGACCCCCTCCACATCTCCTCTCTGGTGCCTACTTCACCAAAGTCAGGACACTGTGGAGCAGCCTACTTTAGCTCTCTTGTTTCTTGGAAGAGAAGCCAGCGTCTAGAGCCCTTTCACAGGACAGATTCAGACAGGCTGCTGAGCCTGGCAGACAGAAAGCACATTCCTGCTGCAGCGCCCCTGGGGCCCTGCTCTGGCCCTGCTGGCTGTGTGGTTTCTTGACTTCAGAGAGGAAGGTGGAAAAGGCCTGCTGTGTGGTGCTGTTGTACTCTTTTGTTTATGGGAACAAGGTCAGCAGTGACTGCCCTGCCCTGTGGGAGCTTCCTGTTGGTTGTTGAGGAACTCTGTCCCCGGAGAGAGGAGGCCGTGCTGGGCAGTGGGCAGTGCCTGTGTGAGATGGGAATCCCTTCTCTGCTGGAAACAGTGTGCAGACGAGCCTAGCCGACACATGCTGGCTTCTGCTGTCTGCCTGAGCTGGGGCCCATGCAGGTTGGGGAGAAGTGTAACATTTGAGTGGAATTGGGTTGCTGGATGTGCCTGTCTCCCCGTACAGACGCTTGAGTCATGAGTTAGCCATGACTCTATTCTTACAGCCCTCAAGCCACTTTTCTCCTGTTGCAGAACCTTCCTTCCAGACATAAATCCCAAGGGTCGGAAGGGAAGGGGTAAGGGTTTCCCAGTGTCTGGGTCTGGAGATCCTCTGTTGGGCACAACTGACATCAGAATTTTTTTTTCTTTTTTTGAAATGGGATCTCATGTAGCATAGCCCAAGCTGGCCTTGAACTCCTGCTCTTCCTGCCTCTACCTCCCAAGTACTACGATTATAGGTGTGCACCTCCACACCCAGCATCAGCAGGGATTTTATAGTGGGGCATGGCAAGCCTGGCAGCTAGAATATGTGGGGTGCTGTTTGGCAGGTTCTGAGTCCCTTGCTCCTGGTGCCCACTTGACCTGATGGTTTTCCTAGCTCCTCCCCAACCTTGCACTCAGTTTCCTCCTCTGCTCTCCCCTTGCAGTTGCCCTGCTTCTTTGAGAGATATGAGCTGGGCCCTGCGGAGCTGGTGGCTCAGCTTCCCCCACCTTCCCAACCCCTGATCCTCCACGAGCATCCTTAGTGCTAGGAAGTCTACCAGGTTGCTGCATTCGCTCCCAGCCCAGCCTGTGTGCTAACCAGACCAGGCTCACAGGGACGTGGTCATGTGCCTGTATTGTAAGTGGCAGCACAGCACCAGGACTGAAACTAAAGTCAGCAGCATGCTGACCCATGCTCCGTCTACTACACCTTGCCGCTGCTTCTCTGCATCTTTACTCCGAGGGCTCTTTCAGTGTGTGACCCTGACCCCAAACTAGAGTCAGTCCTGAGCGTACACGCAACAGAAGCTCCCTGTGTGCTCAGGCTTGGTGAAGCCTGAAGACTATGCTGGGGACACTGACCAGAAGAGCACCCGTAGCTCCAGCTCAGTCTCCATCTTTGGTAAATAAAGCCAGGGGAGTGGAGTAGAGCTCCCTCCAAAACCAAGGTGGATATTTGTGTTTTAGTGTTTCCGTCTGTCGAATCTGCCGTGTGTGTGTGTGTGTGTGTGTGTGTGTGTGTGTGTGTGTATGTGTGTAGACTTCACCTTCCTTCTCTTGTGAAAGAGTCATGGGATGGATGTTTCTGGAAGGGCTGTGACCCCGCCACAGATGTCTTGGGCTCTCCTGGTGCATTTCAGCTGCACCTCTGCTTTGCAGAAAGTTCTCTTCTGTCTCTTGACACCTTGCATCAACTAGCTGCCTCCCTGGCTTCTGATTTGGGGCAAGACAGCTTGCCTTTGCTGGGTCCCCTTCGCCGCCTGGGCAAGGCCAGCCCCTCTTTCCCCTGGATCCACAGCAGATTGTCTGCAACTGGGGCTTACACCTCCATTTCTTTTCTTTTTTTTTTTTTAAGATTTATTTATTTATTATGTACACAGTGTTCAGCCTCCATGTATGCCCTCAGGCCAGAAGAGGGCACAGATTTCATCACAGATGGTTGTGAGCCACCATGTGGTTGCTGGGAATCGAACTCAGGACCTCCGGAATAGCAGTCAGTGCTCTTAACCTCTGAGCCATCTCTCCAGCCCCACGCCTCCATTTCTTAAGACAGCGGGTGTTCATGGCAGGTCATGACCAGTCTTCAAGGCTGTTTTGCCCCCAGGTATGCATACCTAAAACTGGGCTCCAGTATTTTCTTAGCACC